GTCATGGAGGGCCCAATCCACTATAGGTGGTGTCACCCCTGAGCTGGTGGTCCTGGGTTCTATAAGAAGGTGGATTGAGCAAGCCATGAGGAGCAAGGCAGTAAGCAGCCCCCTCCATGGTCTCTGCATCGGCTCCTGCCTCCAAGTTCCGGCCCTGACCTCCCAGGACAATGAACTGTAAAGTGGGAATGCAGGCAAAATAAACCCTTTCCTCCTCAAGTGGCTTCCAGTCATGGTACTTTGTCAGGTCTGATCAAGGAAGACTCCCTGAAGAATCTCCAATAGGGGCCGATGGTCCAGATAATCCAATGCTTCAGAGAACCTCTCTGTTGGAGTTTCCTCTGAGTTCTACATCCAGAACAGCCTAAAGACTGCTGGCTAAGATGATCAAGCCTCACAGAATACTCCAGTCAAAGCTTGACCACAATCCTCAACTTTCTTTACAGCCCCATAAGATTATCAGCACCCCCAATCAACAAAAAGTAGCCAAAAAAAACTATGCCTACATTCCCAAAAAATAGATTATAGACATTTGTCTTTGTTTAGAGTGTTGATTTCAAGTTGTCATATATAATGGTCAAAAAAAAAAACTAAATGAAGGAGATTAGATTTAGAGTTTTTGTTTTAAAAAGAAAAAAAAGGAAATACTGTGGGACAATGCCCTTGTACCCTGTAAAGATGTGTCACCTGTATTGGTTTAATAAAACACTGATTGGCTAGTAACCAGTCAGGAAATGTAGGCAGGACAACCAGAATAGGAGAATTCTGAGAAGAGGAAGAGCTCAGCCTGCAGTCATCACCAAGACGCAGAGGAAGCAAGACGAGAATGCCTCACTGATAAAAGGTACCAAGCCACATGGCTAACACAGATAAGAATTATGGATTAATTTAAAATATAAGAATTAGTTAATATGAAGCCTGAGCTAATAGGCCAACCAGTTTATAACTAATGTAGGCCTCTGTATATTCCTTTGGGACTGAACAGCTGTGGGACTGGGCAGGACAGAAACCTCTGTCCAACAATTCTCCAAACAAAGCTGCCTGCTGTGGACCAAATGCTCAAGCACACATTTTGGGCAACATTCACAACCAACCTGTAACATAAAGGCAAAAGCTTTAGGGCCTTGTCACACGTTGAGGATCTCACTTCTTAACACTGTTATATTGACATTTAAATTTCAACATGGGTTGTAGAGATGACATCCAAACCGATGCTTTAAACCTTACTCCCCCCAAACACACATACATGAACACATACATGCATGCATGCACACACACACACATGAATGCACACATAGACATGTGGAGGACCGCAACCACATACTCCATTACAAGATGGCGCTGGCATCCGGTTTCACCGCCAGGTGAACGCACATGTGCTTGGTAACTTTCCACAGCTGCATCCCTGCCAAGGCATCATCTGGGATAATGGGCAGCAGACCAATCCAAGAGTGACACGTCTAAAGTGAGGACTGTTTCCTATATAAGGGATGGGTTCCCTCATTTCGGGGTCTCCGCCATGTAAGCTTATGCTCTCTCTCTCAAGAAGCATTAAAGCTTTTCTGCAGAAGGATCCTAGTGTCCTGCTTGGTTCTTGCTGGCGAGACGGTAGCGTGGGATACCTGGTGCTTGAAACCTGGGACGCCGGGAGACCCTGACCACTACTCGCACCTCCGGAGACCCCTTGGACACAAGGAGGATTCAGAACTGCAGGTCTGCATGCTCAGAGAGGTATGACTATTCCTGGACTTTTCTATTTGGGGCTTGACTTGTCCCCGCCTTGGAAAGGTTTCATAGAGGCCTTGGTACTTCTTAGCAAGTCTCTTATCACTTTGAAAGTGCTTAGAAGATGAATCCTGCCAGGCGGTTGTTGCAGAAGCAGAGGAAGTCCTGGATAGCATATCAGAAACTGAGTGCAGTGAGAGGTTGGGCGCGCACGCAAAAAAAGGACAGTCCCAAATAAGAAAAAAGGACAACCCCCCGTTGGTTCTAAGAAAATTAGAATGGGGGAGAAGACTGACCTACAAGGTCAAAAGCTTTCTGATACCAACAATAAGAAAAAAGGACAGATGTATGTTATGTTGTTTGTGTTGTCTTTTGTGTACTGGACAGGAGAAAGATATTTGAATTTAGGAACTGCTAAAAAAGGTATTTTAAATTTAAAATATGGGCCTAAGGATATGATGTTTTGGAAAAGAGGTTTTGTTTTCGTCTCCACAGAAAATGAGAGCCTAAGGGTGTACTTGAGATTTATGTGGTTTGAATCACCGAGACCTCCTGAAATGTTGTAGTGAATACCCCTAAAATACAACCTCCCAATTCAGCAGGAAGTAGCCAGAGAGACTAACAATGCCCAAATTCCCTAAAAGATTGTTTAAATGGGGTCCTTTCAATGGTTGCAGAGCAGCAAGCCTGCTTCTCTGAATTCTGCTTTACTCCGTGCACCAGTTTGGACTCAGAGTGAATACAGCTGCGGCTAGAAGGCAGCTGGAGCAGAGCTTTGCTAGGTAGCTGTGGTAAAAGGCACATTGCCCCAGCCCAGTCGGTGCCTAGCCTGGCGGATGCCACAGCAATGCAGTGTGCCTGGAACTGGGAGGGGCTCTGAGGCTGGAGTGGCTTCTGCTCCACTTGGCTAAGCTGAACTGTGCTGACTTCAGGCAGGACTGGTAGTAATTATCATAATAAAAGCGCAATCAAGGTTTAGCTGCAGTAAACAGGCAGTACTTAAGTTTTTAAGAACTGCTTAGCATTTTAAGAACTCATGTCCTCCCGAAAGATTGCTGTATATACACTTGGTTTATCTAATGTTACAGGATTCGCAGGGAGGTAGATGCGAAAAGCCCTTGGATTTTTAAGGTGATAGGGTCATTGGCTAAATCTGTGACTATGGTGCCTTTCCCTTCTGCCCCGTGAGCTGTAGCGGCTCCGGCGTGGACCTTGAGGCCTGTGCCGCCTCGATTACCGGTCCGTCCGGGTGTCGGCCACCAACACAGCCTCGGAGAACTAGGCTAGCCCCGCGGGGAAGGCAGGGGCGCCTGGAGGTGGAGCCGCCACTTCCTGGCCCCGGGACACGCGGAGCCGGAGCCGCACAGCGAGCAGGCCCAGGGCCGCGCGCAGCCCTCGGGTGGCAGGGCGGGCTCTGGAGCCCGAGGCCACCGTACCCGGGGGACGGTCTCAACAGAGGCTGGCAAGCCACATCCCCATACACGGAGCCCAGGGCGGGCGGCGAGGCTTCCCTGAAGGGGCAATGTCCAACGAGGTTTACACCTGCCGAGTGCGGCCTAGGGGAAAAAAGCCCATAGTTTCCAACATGCCTCTGGTAGACTTCTTGATGCAGCTGGAGAATTGCGCCCCTGCGATCCCAGATTATTAAGCAATTGTCTAGTTATCTTCTAGGTAATTGGACTGGAGAACCTGATGAGGAAGTAACAAGGATGACCCTCTAAACAATGACAAGGGCATGGCCTATACGGATACCAATTCTTGTTAAAAACAAAAAAAGGGGGAATATTGAAGGAGTTGCCCCCAACGCTAAGATTGGCCATTGCCATGGCTCTGTTCACTATAAATTTTTTAAATCTGGATGATAATGGCCAAAATGCTGCAACACAACATTGTTTGGATCTGCAGAGGCCCAAGGATTTGGTTAAATTGAAAGATGTGCTTTCTAATGAATGGAAAGGCCCGGATCCCATTCTATTGAGATCCAGGGGAGCTGTTTGTGTGTTCCCACAGGATCAAGAAAACCCATTCTGGGTGCCAGAGAGACTGACCCAAACGGTGAAAAGTGACCCACAACATGCGGACTCGCCTGAAGATTTGGCTTCTGTTCCTCCTGCCATTTTGCGGATGGATGACAACGGTTATGATGGAGCAGCGATGGGGGATACTCTCAGCCTTCCCGAAGCCGACACCAGTCAGCCATAGAGTGGCAGTGTTTCCTCGGTTTTTTACAACCAATAAGACTCTGGGGCTCCCCTACCTTCCTAGAGATGATTTATAAGCTTAACCGAAGAATTCCAGTCCTGGGTTGTGTTCTTTATCTCCTACTTTAAAGAATGGGTGGGAGTGGAAATGTTTGGAACAGCCCTATGCTGTAGAATAGTGTTTCTCCTCTGGATGGTCTGCTGACTCAAATCCCAAAGTTGTAGGGACAAAATAGTTATTGCACAAGCTCTGGCTGCCCTGGAACAGGGGGTCTCTACTGATATGTGGTTATCTATGTTGAAGCAGTAAGGTTTATGCCAACCAGCTCCTGCACCCCTAGGACAGTGGTCCATGGCACAGGGTGGAGTGCTTGGCTTAGCTAGCCCTGAAGGTTGTCGAGCTGAAGAGCATCGCACAGAGAATGGCCCTCTCTGAGAGATATGTCGCCCTGCATAAGGGTTTCCTGCCGCATATTCCCTTTCCCAGAAAAATGGCAGAGGGCAGGCCGGATAAGTTCCAGGTGTCATGAACCTAGGGGCAGATTCCGTGCAAGTCCATCATAATGTTTCCACTTTGGGAAGTGCGACCTCTATCTTTGCCTTCTGAGGGAGTTGCCTTTCTGCAAAGAAGTAAAAAAGGGGGAGATGTGGAGGACCGCAACCACATATTCCATTACAAGATGGCGCTGGCATCCGGTTTCACCGCCAGGTGAACGCACATGTGCTTGGTAACTTTCCACGGCTGCATCCCTGCCTACTCCCGAGGCATCATCTGGGATAATGGGCAGCGGACCAATCCAAGAGTGACAAGTCTGAAGCGAGGATTGTTTCCTATATAAGGGATGGGTTCCCTCATTTCGGGGTCTCCGCCATGTAAGCTTATGCTCTCTCTCTCTCAAGAAGCATTAAAGCTTTTCTGCAGAAGAATCCTAGTGTCCCGCGTGGTTCTTGCTGGCGAGACGGTAGCGTGGGACATAGACATATACACACAGACACACATACAACCTTCATGTTTTTTCACACATAAAATACGTTCATTCCATACCAATAAGCCCCAAATTTTATTTTTTCTGACAATCCTTCACACAACCATTTACTTCTGTACTTTGTTATTCATCATTCACCTAGGAAAACAGAAACTGGGATAAACTTGTGTAGTTCATGTATATGGATCATGGGAGCTTGTACATATGTGTATGCCTCCGATGAGAATTTTATCTTCTCTGTTGTAACTTGTTTCTTATCCTGATATCTACAAAAGAATTGATTACAAATGAAGAATTGGAGGTCACATTGACTCATCTGCAGAGGAAGAGGGGGATAGAAACTGAGCAAGAACCACATAAATAACACTATCATTTACAGAATCTTTCAAATTAAGGAGGCATCATAGGACAATATTGGCTGGAGATGTAGCTCAGTTGGTAGAATGCCTGCCTAGCACGCACAGAGTTCTGGGTTTAATCTTCAGCATTGCATAAAGTGAGTGTGAGCATCACACTACATGAGCTCATTACAGGACATTATAGGACAAAATTAGCTGAGGATGTGGCTAAGATGACAGAGTCTTTTCCCAGAATTCACCAAGTTCTGAATTTCATCCTCAGCATGGGACACAGTGGATGTGATGGCACATACCTACAACTCCATCACTCTGGAAATGGATCCTTTAAAAATACATAATTCATTTAAAAATACATAATTCATAAAAATGCATACAGAAATAATGGTTTTCCCCAAGTGTTTTCAGCAAAAGAAATTTCAGTTATCCAGGACCAGAAACCATCAACATTATCATGACTGAGTGACTAAGGATGATTCCACACATGGCCCTCCTGATAGATCAACAGGTCTAATCTTGCACCATAATGTCTTCTTTTAGAGACTATGTCTCTAAATGGGGAAATAGCTCAGTCAGAAATGTACCTGCCTCACAAGCACAAGAACTGAAATTTGGATCCCCATTACCCACATAAAGCTAAGCATGAACATGGAGCATATACATGGAACCCCAGCATTTGCAGGGTGGGTCAGGTAGAGACAAGTCTCATCGACCAATCAACCAGTCTAGCAGAAATGGCGAACTACAGGTACAGTGAAAACCTCTGTCTCAAACTAATTAACTAATTAATTAAACTAATTAATTAAATGGAGCAACAACTGAAGAAGATGCTAGCATCACCATCTAACCTCTAAACATAAGCATGAACACACACACACACACACACAAACATACAAAAAACTTTTTAAAGAAAATAAGTAAAGCATATTGTAAATGTTTAATAGTGTACACAGACTGGCCACAAAGGAAATGGTGATGTAAGTCACGTGTATGTATCTTTGCTTTGGGGTTTCTCATTTGTAAGTCTAGGGACAGAAGACCTACACCAGAACTTCAGAACAATGAAACATTTGGTGTTCATGGTGGCAACTTTAGGGAAACAAATGTAGCACTAACTAAGCACATAAAAGTGTATGAGCCAGTGGTGGGGCACATGCCTTTAATCCCAGCATGCAGAAGTCAGGGTCAGGTGGATCTCAGTGAATTCCAGCCCAACCTGAGCTGCAAAGTGAGTTCCAGGACAGTCAGGGCTACATAGTGAGACCATGTCTCAAAACCAGTGAAAGTATAAATCTGTGCAGTTCTCATACTGTGGATTAGCATCATAGATGGCACATCTAGAAAGTCACTAGATAGTCCTCAGGCTGTGGCTGCTAGCTTCCAAATCTCTGAATGCCTTGAAGCCAGAGGTATCAACACAGCAATACCCTGGAGAAAACAGAATAAAGTGACCACAACCAACAGCACAGTCCTGCACCTAAGGCTCAGAGATCATTGTGAAAGAGAAGGGGAAATGGGATAGGACTTCCGACTGCTCTGCATTACTATTTGACGACCCAGAGCGAGGCACTCAACCTGTCAAATGAGGCAGCTGGGAAAGAAACACAAACCCCAGCTGAATGGGATTGGCAGACAGAGCTGCCATGGTGAACCAAGTGGAGCAGCTGATGGCGGCAGGCAGTGATGTATGTGGGTGGGTGTATGATCAAAGTGACAGTAGCAACAGGAAGGAAGGGGTGGAGAACCTCACCCCATAGCAGTTTCTGGAGAGGGTGAGCCAGAACTGATAGGAGCTCTTTGGACAGCAAAAAGGTGGGTAGGCACTGACCTGATTGTGAACTAGTTTCCCTCCCTTTCCCACTAGATTTTTGACAACTCTTCTCTGATTAGCTCCATTTTCACCTTATTTGTGTGTGTGTGTGTGTGTGTGTGTGTGTGTGTATTTGTGTGTACACACTCAGCCAATCGGGACCCAGAGGGTTCTATAAATTTGGGTTAGGTGAGTTCTGGAGGGGTAAAGTCACTGAACAGTCCGCAACCTAGCCAGAGCCTTGGGCAGGTTCCTGGCTCCTGGCTGAGGGCTGAGCTCCCAGATGCTCTATCAAGAAGAAACAGCGCAGTGAAGACTCACAGAGACAGACAAGTCTGAGGACTGGTGCTCCGAAGCTTCTGTCTCAAGCAGGGAGACTGCTCGGGATCCCACCACTTCATGCTGTGGGACTCGACCTGTGGCTACAGGAAGCAGGGCACATTCCTGCCTCTGCCTCTAAGACTCCATCCTTTGGCTGAAGATGAGAATTCATTCCTGAGGCTGGCTCTAGCCCTTGAGACCTGCCAGAGACAGAAGACCAGGAGTGCAGAGATATGATGCTCACAGTGTCTCAAGGTGGGTGTCCTTCTGCCACCAGGGGGGGGGGGGGGTCTCAATGTTTACTTTCTCCTTTAAATGCTTGTTCCCATGAGGTAAATAAAACTCCTTTTTGGCCAGTCATTGTCTGCTCACTCCATCCTTAGGAACAGAATTGACCACCTTACAACCTACAAAAGACATCCTCACATTTTAAACAAAGAGTTTGGAAGGTATAGCTTTATCAAAGCATATAAATTGGGAGCCCGCTCTAAGCAATTCTATCATCAGCAAACTTGGTGCCATTGGATGATGCAGGAAAGTTGGTAGAAACATGAGCAATGCTGGACTTTGTTTCTGAGATGAGAGGTCTCATTTATACCATGCTGGCCGCGAATTTGCTTTATAGCCAAAAATGATCATGAACCGATCCCCAACTGATCCTCCTGCCTCCACCTGCGGGAATGACAGGTGGGCACCAGCACCAAGTCTATGACGAGCAAGGTATTGAACCTGGGGCTTCACACATGCTGAGCAAGCACTCTACCAACGGAGCTACAGCCCCTTCCTTAAACCTCTTTTTTAAACAGTCAGTAAATTGACAAATGTACACGGGAGCAAACATTCCAAATACAGGACACATCTCAAATTACAGCAAACTCCAGTCCCGAATGCGGAAGGTGTATGCCACGGCACACAGCAGCACTGCCACTTAAGGGGCTGTGCTTTTCCCCAACTACAAGGTTCCATTTACCAAGTTTTTCATGGTTTATGTCACTAGTGTCAAGAATAGGCTATATCTGCTCGAGCTGACCCAATGGGTCCCATAGACTGTCTCACCCCCAAACATCCCAGTCTATTTCCAATGCCGTTGGTTGTCTTTCACAACTTGATGGTAAACCCATATTGCTGAAGGCACCACATTCTCATGGTGCAGAAGAACATGGAGCAATCTAGCTGGTTCTCATCTGGAAGCCTCACCCCGACTTACTAGTGCTCACAGTGCTAGAAGACACTATGCGTGCTACTGGAGGAGAAGAGCAATCGTCAGTCTCACCCAGCTATGAGCCCTGTGAGGCACAGACACAGATGAGAGAAACAGAGAGAAGGTCTGACTGTGATTTGAGATCCCGAGGTGGATGCAGAACAGGCAGAGAAGACAGTAAAGCAGGGATCTGATAACATAGGAACACAGCTGTTAGGAGACATGTCTCCATGGACTCCTGCATCTCTCTGACTGAGGTGGTCACTCTCTCCCTGTCTTGTTCTGCCTTTATCCTTCCCTGTCTGAATGCCTTTTTCTGCCCCTTGGGGCATGATGCTCCCTATTGTCCTTTTCTCTCCCCCCCCATCTCCCACCCATTTCTTCTCTCCTCTGCATCTCTGTTATTCATTAATCCTCTGACCTCAAGGAACTGCGATGTTTGTAGTATAACTGGTGTCTGGCAGGAAGGGGTCTGTCTCCTTTATCATGGTAAACCTGCATCCTGCCCATCTCAGCAGGACTCAGGCCCTAACTCCCCATTGTGGGGCAAATGTGTTCACATTGTTGTCTCTTTCTCTGTTAAAATGACCAACCAACTGCTTGCAGAGGTAAACAAGCCTGTTACTGGTAGTCCTGATTAGGGAGGAGGAGACCAGAAAGACAGTGCTGTTTCTGAGTCTAAAAGTCAAAGCTTCCAGACTGGCACACACAAACTCCTCTGTCCCCATGGGGGAGGACCAGCGGTACATGGGACCTTTGCACACTCATGACCTTTGCAAGAGTTCACCATGGAGTTTTATGAACCCACGACCTTGTTCTTACTGGGCAGTTCAGGTCCTCATTTCACGCCCAGAGAGCATAGAGCATGATGGGAAAGCATCGCGTCCTTTGCCCAGAATAATCTGCTTAGTCATCCACTGATAGAATAGTGTTGCTCCCCGAACTGGACTTGAAAGGTTTTTAAAAGGCAGAAAGAGGACACAGACTTGGGTGATTAGAGAAGAGGTTTGGTTCTAGGAGGAGCTGGCTGGAGGGTGTGAATGTGATTAAATTACAGGATATGAAACTCTCAAAGAATTAATCTTTCAAGTGAGGAAAATACCTGAAGTGCTGCTGTCCTCTGACATTTCTTGGCGGACACAGTAAAGCACGTAGTGGGTGACATTCTGCCTCTGGGCCACTATAGTCCAGAAGTAAAGTAGGGTGTCACACCTGATCAGTCTGGTTCAGAGCCTGCTAATGGAGAATGTGAGGCAGACAGACAGACAAAGGACAGTGAGAGATGAGGAGAGAGGGCTCTAGGGGCTCCATGGGTGGATAAACATCAAACAGACAGGGCTAGTGACAATACACTGATATTTTGAGCTGGAGAGTGCCTGCTTAGCACACAGGAAGTCCTGGGCTTGATCATCCGCAAGGCATAGCCCAGCCATGGTGGCTACATAGTGAGTGCTGGGCAGCCTGGGCTAATGAGACCCTGTCCCCAAAAAGAGAAGTAACAGACTTCTTAACCTGCAGAGCGAATGCTGCTCATGGGAATTGGAAATAACTCACTGAGATGAGGGAGCAGCCAACAACAGCTCCCCAGATTCAACATCTCAGCTTTTCTTCCACTGATGTGTTCATCCCCACCTCCCCTGTACCTGTTCCAAAGGGGTCACTCTAGGAAGTGCTTGTAAGTCACAGGAAAACACCATTTTTTAAGTCTGACAAACCAGAGTCCATATCACAGTGTGGTTGTTTGTTTTGTTTTGCTGAAGAGACCAAGGTAAGTGTCTACTTAGCTCTGAGTCTTAAATTTTCTCATCTGAAAAACTGAAGGATGCTAATGGTACAGGTGCATCATGGGATAGAAACGAGTGCCAGGAAGCACACCACCTGGCATTTTTGTAGGTGCTCAGTAAGCACCTGGTGTCATGGAGAGAAACACAGAGACATGGGAAACTAAAGACAGCCTGAGAGAGATGCAGGGACAGGGTGAGAGAGCTGGGGACAGGGGAGAGAGCTGGGGACAAGTGAGAGCTGGGGACAGGGTGAGAGAGCTGAGAACAGGGGGAGAGAGCT